GATTACTTACATTAATATAGTGTAAGATTGCACATATAAAACCAAGTATAGCTGCGGTGTCATCTTCAAGTCACTTTCTAAGTGATATGCCAGACATTCACTTAATTATTCCTTTTCCATCTCTGGTCATCAGCATACTTACATAAACAAGGTTAGCTCTTGGCAAATACCAGGTTTTTGAAGTGCCAGCTCCCAAGTTCATTTCCAATGCTGAAGCTGCTCTGTGCTTGGGTTACAGCAGTTAATGTCTCTCTCAGCTAAAACTGGGTGCTCCATGGCAGACAAGCAAAAATCTAAAACTTGCACATTAATGGGTCATAAATCAAAGGGCGGCTTACTCAGGTTGCAAACTTATGTTTAAGCAGCTGGACCATTGGCAGTCATGGAAACTTTTCTTTCTCTTTAATCAGCAGTGCAGACTGATGCCCACTGGTTCTTATTGTGTGAGGTCAGATGCACTCACATTCAGGGGTTTATCAACTTTTTGAGTCTCTGCTGAATTCAGATAAGTGGGTCCTTTAGCCTACACTGCTCCCTTAAGATCTACATGGCAGACATTCAGTATGGCTCTGAGTGGTTAGAGAGATTGGGGAGTATCCTAGCTGTAAAATAGGTAACTCCTATTTTAGAGTTACCATAACTGGACTGCAGAGATTCAAGTGATCTCTAGATGGCAGCCAAGAGTTAGTGTTTTATGAATCTGGTTGCTGCATCTAGTGGTCAACCAGATTTTTGCATGCCACTTATGGTAGACCAACCTTATATTGTTAGCTGTGTACTGCAGAATGAAAAATCACAAGAATGCAATTCTGGGCATTTTCCCACTTCATCAGTGAATGATTTATGAAAGCTTTGCTAATGCTCAAAGCTGTGAAATACTATTGAGCAACAGATTGGTTTATTCTTATGTTATTTATTATATGTTTAAATCACCTAGTTATTTAAGCTGTGATACCATGAAGTTATAACAAAACAGAGGGAAGTGTAAAAGCATCAATAATTTTTCTTCTATGTAACCTACCACTTAAAAAAGAAAAAAAACTACACAGGATTTGGGAATCTAACTGACATGTATGAATTTATGCCAAGACTTTTAAAAATATGTATAGGAGGATAGTTCAAAGGGGTCAACTTCTTAAGTAATTGTGTGCAGCAACAGTTCAAGTTAGAATAAAAAGTGCAATATAATCATCTTGTTATGTTCTCAGAAATCCTTGAGGAATTCTTGGTGGGAGGAAGACATGGGGAAGAACAATATTTACTCAATAACGTGCTTTCCACAAAGTGCTGCCCTCCTGCTGTGCTGTGTCCAGAACTCCCACAATTCTTAGCCAGTGATAGTCCCCAGAAAATGGAGGGGGGTGCTCCACACTGGGACACACTGATATGGGCTTTTCAAAGGTTCAGCTGGACTAATTCCCCCTCTGTTCTTCCTCCTTGGTTTCTGAAAATTACACTTTGCATATTCCATGATTCAGTTATTCTCTTCCTCAGCTCATCCTGGTGTCATAGGGTTGCACAACATCAGGCTATTTAAGTCAATGTTTATATGAACTTCGCAAAATTGAAAGCAAGCTTTTTCCCAGATTTATCACCTAGTTTCCCTACCACCTCCAACTCTGGATAATGGACTGACTTGGCAATGACAAGACAATGTTAACTTCTAAAAAATAGCAAATGTAATAGGGCCTTAGTTGGTTGTATCTGGACAGGAATACACTGATGCCTACCCAACAGCATTGCTAGCATTCTGGATTTGTTAATTAGTATACAAGTAGTCCTCGACTTATAACCATTAGTTTAGTGACCATTTGAAGTTATGACAGCACTGAAAAAGTGACACCAGTCTTTGCACTTACAACCATCGCAGCATCCTGGTCACGTGATCGCCATATGCAACCTTCCCAGACGGCTTCTGGCAAGCAAAGTCAGTGGGGGAAGCCGGATTCACTTACCGACCGTGTGATTAGTTTAACGACTGTGGTGATTCGTTTAATGACCACAGCAAAAGTGTCATAAAATCGGGTGCAGTCACCTGATGCCTCACTTAATGACTGCACCGCTTAATAACAAATTTTCTGGTCCCTATTGTGGTTGTAAGTTGAGGACTACTCGTATACCTACTGGAAGCTTTCATGGTCTTTAAAATAGAAAAGAATCATGTATTTCTTTCTAAACAAAGTGTTTTGCAAAGTGTTGTAACAGTATGTGAGAATGACCTTGGGAGACAGGAGGAAGAGTCGCAGACTAGACAACTGTAATGCAAAAGGTATCTCATCTCACAGAAGGAAAAAGAGCACGGGAAGCATCTCAGAAGGGACCCTCCCTAGTTTTCCAGAGGGTAAAAAGAAAGGAGGGAAGGAATACTTTCAGACTTGCAAGACTGATGTCAGCCCTTCGAGGTAGTCCAGACAAGAAGCACAAAGCATGAGTACTAACACTACCTTTACTATAAGGTAACAGTCACAGAATCTTGCAAGTCTGAAAGTATTTCTCCTTCTGAAATGCTTCCCGCTCCCCTTCTGTTTCTGTGGGCTGAGATACCTTTTGTATGACAGTTGCCTAGTCTGCAGCTATTCCTCCTGTCTCTTAAGGTCATTCCCAGATACCATTACGTATGTGCACAAGACATTGTTTATTCTGAATTACTGTTTTGCTTCCAAAACTGAGAGGCAAGCAATTAACTAAGTTTGTTACTCAGGGAATGATTCTGTCTCATTCAGCCATTGGTTCTCATTAGTTAGGCATAATGTTAGGACACATGCTGAATGATAAACATAGATAATTCTTCCACAGGATTTTCCAAGGATTACTAATGAATTACTCAATACTTCCTTTACTCTGGGAGGATAACATTCTTTATTTCAATGTTTTAATTTGATTGTACACCACTGGAGAAATTACAACTATGTTCATACAATCTAATAAAACCAACGAGAGTCCCATATTATGTTAAGTACTTTAGAAATTAAGTTATGGACCAGTGTTTTCTTTGGTAGATTTCATTCTAAATATATGTTAACTCTGCACAAAATAGATGAACATGATGCTCACTTACGCAGGAAGACAGCAAGAATATGGACATCTATTTGTGTATGTGTGTGTGTTTGTTTTTTTGTCAAATATGAGGATTGGCTTCTAGGCCTGATACGACACATGTGTTTAAAAGTTTCCTTGACTTTAATGGAGCTCACCTTAACTAATATATAAAATTAAACATCATTATATCAAATCAAAATAAGGGCAAATACACTTTCTCTTAATGATTCATTTTTAAAATGTTAAGATTGCAATCCTGTAATATTTAACTGAAAATAAGCCCTTTCCCAACTTGATATAGACAGATTTACACTATTTAAGTAGTGTAAATCTGTCTATATAAGAATAAGACCCCAATCTATTCTTAATCGTAAGGCATACAATACTGGCCTGTATATTATGTCATTAACAGAACCACTCTTTGGGTAATTTAGCACGTGCTTCTCCAGCTGGATGGCTTCAGATGAGCTGATGCTATACTTTCAATAATTTCCACCAATATGGCCAATGCTAATTGTTAATTCTAGGAATTACAATCCTAATTAATCTGGAGGGCGACAGGATGAGAAAGACTAATGCAATCTTTAGAAAAGACTGATATAGTTGGACTATAGCTGGTGTTACTTAAATTTTTGGAGCTTAACCTCCTTACTTAGTACCCACATGGTATTAAGCCATGATGTGATGTTTGGTTTAGCATATCATGTAAACATAGCCAATTATTGCTTATTCAAAAAATCTTGGTGAAGCATATCCTGATTGGAAACCAATCCATTTTCAAAAGGATACTCAGACAAAACTGAAAATTTTAACCCTTATTCATGAAAATTTTAAATGCATTTAAAAGAGCACGAACAAATGGCTTTGCTAGGTACTTGCCTAGGAATCTGACACTATTTGCTCACCGAATCAGAAGAAAATAAATTTATCTTCCCCTCAGGAGGATAATATTCTTCCAAAGTCATTACATATTCCATGATATCCACAACTCTGCTCAGTATATTGCTAGCTGAAATTGCAGCTCAGTGACAGAGTATACAATTTATACATAGATGCCTTAGGTTCAAACTGCTTTCTTTAGTGTTTATAACTAAATATAGCAGATTATATGAAGGACCACTGCAGAGATTTTGGAAATCACACCACACAACAATTTATCTAGGCCAAAGAGACCAAAAGTCCTTCACATGTTGTTGATCACACCTCTTAGAATCTCTTGTCGGTGATCATACTAATGGATGGACCTGTGGAACCTTTGGGTTAAAAGAAAGCAAAAGACCAACTTCCAACTAACTGTCCCAACATATACTCTTGACTGTAATTTTCATCACCCCCAGCCAGCAAGACCAATGATTAGAAGCTATGGGCATTGGAGTCCAATAAGAATCTTCACATATTGAACTGGCAACTCATTTCCTTCTCCCCCATGGAAAACACTACTCATAATGCAGACACAACTTAAGAACCCCCAATTCGTGCAAATATCCCTCTGCCCCAAAGTGGAAGTACAACTTAGGGTCCAGAAAGTTATATATACACTCCCAGAAGGTATCTACTCCCACACCTCCACCATCCAATCCACTAGGCCTTAAAAAGCTTTGAGGAAACCAGGGTGCAGACTTGCTTCCTGTGACCTGCAAGGATGCTTTATTTTAAACAAAAGTGCAACTGAAGTTTGACAGACCCTTTCCCTGAAACCTTGGGCCACCTAATCTTAAGCATGTGAAGGTGAGGTAAGACTGTCTGACAGGGTGCTCTTTGATAGGCTGAAGCATTTCCCTACGATTGCATGCGATTTAGCATTTGACCCCAATAGTGAAAAGTTGCTCTGGCCAACCCATGCTGCCTTCCAGCGTGTGAGCAAAAGTTAGGACCATGAGCAAGCTGAGCTGAGCTGTCACGGGGGAGGGAGTTAGGGGAAAAAACAGGTAGGTAAAGGGCCGCCCCTCGGTACCACTCACCTTGCCACAGCCTGGGGGTCCCCAGAGAATGAGCGAGGGGATTTCGTGAGCCTCCAGCAAGGACCGTAAGAGCGTCTCTTTCCCCAACACCTGGTCCTGCCCCACATAATCCCCCAGTTGGCTCGGCCGCAGCTTATCCGCCAGGGGCTTCCCTTCCAGTTTTTGGGCCACGCTCTCCCCACT